GGGGCTGGTTTTATCTCACAGGGAGGAGGCACGTTCCTGTCACATTGTGGTTTGCAGTGACACTCCCTCCCATGTAAGCCAGGGGTCGGCCAGTAAAGCTTTATCGGCGCAGCCACTCCTGTCTGGACGTGTTCTCTGTGGCCGTGTGAGCCATGACCACAGAGCTGAGCAGTCACAGCAGACTGTGGGATCCTTAAGGCCGAAAACACTCACTCTCTGGCCCTTTGCAGAGTAAGTCTGCCGACCCCTGGCGAGCAGCATCGACCCCTCGTAGACATGTCATCATGACAATTAACTAACTTTGTGCTGCTATGGTAATATTTGCCATATCCTGGGCTCTCTCATTTTAATGGAAAATTTAAACAGTAATTTTCTGACTGAGTTCCGTGGTAAGACCACCCTCCTGACACTGATGTGTTCTGCAGCTTGGCGGGGGCTGTGAGCTTGCCATGATGTGTGACATCATCTATGCTGGTGAGAAAGCCCAGTTTGGACAGCCGGAAATCCTGATAGGGACCATCCCAGGTAAGGAGTGACGCTGTCTCTGGTGTAGACACTTGAGGTAGTTTCTCAGAATCTGCTCACGTCTCTTCACTGCTCCCTCCACACGAGGCTGTGTGTGACTGAGCTCAGAGAGTGGCCCTGGGGGCCCCGGGCCATGTCCTGCTCCTGTAGTCAATGTCCGGAGACGCTGCTCATGTGGCTTCTAACCACATGGCTGCTGCCCCTGTTGCACATCCCTGGCGGATCCTCGTGGGTCAGGAGCTTGGAAGAGAACAGGGTGACCCTGGGCTGGCACTGAGAGCGCTGCCTGGTGTGCCTCACGCTCCGTCCACGCCCATCTCACTGGCCACGGGACCTCCAGTGGAGCAGGGAGCCAGGCCCCGGCCACCCCAGGGTCCACCTGGCAGACCCGGGAGGAGGGCTGGGTGTCGCAGGGCGCTCAGGGCGGCACGGGCCTGAGGGAGCACAGACGCGCCGGGATCAGGGAGACCGGGAAGCCGCTGGAAGGTTTACAGAGAGTCTGGGGAGGGACCCACAGAGCCGCACACCTCGGTCCTGTGGTCAGGGGAGGGGAGGCACCAGGTGTGGGACCTGAGCTTGGAAAGGGCTTGCTCTGGGCCCCTGGCCTGCCAGCCCCTCAGAGCTCGCCCCAGCGCATCTGTGGTGTCTTCTTGACTCACCACAGCGCCCGCCATGACCAGCCCCTCTGCCCTGCAGGCGCGGGTGGCACCCAGAGACTCACTCGGGCTGTCGGAAAGTCGCTGGCGATGGAGCTGGTCCTCACCGGTGACCGGATCTCAGCGCAGGATGCCAAGCAAGCAGGTACGGGCAGGGCTGCCGCAGGAGCAGGTCGAGCCCCAGGCTGCACCCAGGTGTCCCCATGGGTAGTCACACGGGGTTTTAAGTCCAGAGAACCGAGCGACTTGGTGTGGCCACGTTTTGTTTCTGTGTTTTGAAATATATGTACAAAAGAGAAACTAAACCTACACACAGGTGACAGGATAACAACATGACGGCCCCATTTCCCAAAGCCCCGCACAAGTGAGGGACATCTCCAGGCCCCTCGCTGGCCAGACCTCCCCCTGCCCTGTCGATGACTGCGGCCCCACGTCTGGCCACCTCTGCCATCCACTGCTGCGGACAGCATGGCCTGCGCGTCTGAGCACAGTGACCACACTTCTGGGGCCACCCAGCCCCCTCGGGGAGTGCGGGCACCGTCCCTTGGCATATGCTCTGAGAGACCTGGCATTCCGGGGCAGGGTGCTCCCAGATGGTCACCAGGACCCAGAAAGAAACAACTGGTGCTGTTGCTACATGTCATTTACCACCTTGTTTGTGTTTTAGGTCTCGTAAGCAAGATTTTTCCTGTTGAGACGCTGGTTGAAGAAGCCATCCAGTGTGCAGAAAAAATTGCCAGCAACTCTAAAATTATAACGGCAATAGCCAAAGAGTCAGTGAACGCAGGTAGGGGCCTCTGCCAGGAGGAAAAGGGGGGCGGTCTCCAGGGCTGCACAGGGAGAGTTCTCAGGGCAGGCTGGATGGCTGCACGCTGAGCCTTCCTGGGCAGAGGTGGCAGGATTCTCAGTGCTTCGATTTTAGCCATTTGCAGAGTTCTGGTTTCTGGTCACTGACTCGTATGTTCTCCTGAGGTGTCCTGAGCTCTCCTTTGTACCAGGGCCAAGAACTGGGCCAGGCCTGGGAGGTGACAGGCACAGTGCTAGGCAGGGGCATGGCCGAGGGGGAGCCGCAGGCCATCAAGCAGAACCGTGGTCCTGCTCAGGGGACACTGGGGTACCCCCGGCCTGGGGCTGCAGGTGCAGCCCACGCTCAGCCTGCACGAGCACCAGAGCACCGGTGCCGGGGCGAATGCCAGCCTGTGTGTTCCCAGTCTGGGTTCTTTCAATTCCCTCTCTGCCAGGGAAGAGGCTCTGACCTTCCCCCTCCTCAGAACTGCCCGAGTGTTACCGCAGCAGTTCATCTCAGCATTTGCAATGAGATTGTCTGTTGCTCAGTGTTGCCTGTTGAAGAGACGGCCCAGCACAGGCGTACGTGACCTCAGGCAGGTGACTTGGCCTCTCCGAGCCCATTTGTTTCAAAAGCGTGGCCGTCCCCGAGAGCCGCACTGTTGGCGTCACTCAGAGGCGCCGATCGCTGGCAGCAGCAGCACAGTTGTGGCTGAAAGCATCACCTGCTGTTGCACGGTTCCCCCAGGAGGCCCTGGCTGCAGGTGTCTGGACGGCAGCACACCTACTTTTCTCTAACCTCAGGGTCGCGCTGCTCCACCCTGCTGAAGAGCCGGCTGGGAGTGAGCCCAGCACCCGTGCGTTCCTCAGTTGGGCTGCCGTGTTCTCCCTAGTTACTTTCTGTACTCTCATCGTTGGACAGAATTTGCTGTTTCCCTTCCATCCGCTTCCTCATGCCCATCCCTCTTGGGCCCTGGGCCACTGGGCGTGATGCTCGGAGCCCTGAGAGGAGAGGTGCCTGGCAGGTACCCAGGGCCGGGCTCCCCAGCCATGCTGGAGCACAGCACAGCCGCGTGTGTGGTCGGTGGGGAGGAGTCCTGCACTGCCACACCTGACGTCTGGGTTCTTACCTCCGGGGCTTGCTCTTTCAGCCTTTGAAATGACGTTGGCGGAAGGGAACAAGCTGGAGAAGAAGCTCTTCTACTCGACCTTCGCCACGGTGAGTGAGCAGCGCCCGTGGGAGAGCCAGGCGTGCTCTGGCCACAAGCTGCTGGCGTTTTTCTGTTAGATTGTGTCGTTAAATAGCATTTCCCTTCGATCAGAACGGCTAGCTTCCCTCTAGCTGGCTCAGATGTGTCTACCAGTGGCCTTGAGTTAGCAAAAAGTATAGTCTATGGAAGTTCAAAAGCATGGAACACTTTGCAGGGTTATTTCCTTCTATGAAACATCTGTGAGTTGCACCTTCACCAGCTCCTTTGTTTAAAATGCAGTTCAAGCTGGGTGCAGTGGTGCACGCCTGTAATCTCAGCTACTGGGGAAACTGAGGCAGGAGGATCGCTGGAGCCCAGGAATTAGAGTCCAGCCCGGGTAACATAGCAAGACCCTGTCTCTTAAAAAAAAAAATTTTTTTAATGTAATTCATTTTACTTGTAATTTTTCTAGATCATTGCAATTATTTGGAATATGGTTCAAATGTCTTGTAGTTCTATAATCTGAAACTTTAGAGCAATGTTTTCTAAGATTTCTGCCAGTGACTTAACAGGAAATGATTCTCGTAATTGCCATCATAGTTCATCTCTTTTATCACAAAGTCATATCTGGGTGTTTTATAAAAGAAAGATGGAAAATGGTTTGGCTCTTAAGGAAGGAGTGCAGAGGCCTATGTGTGCTCGGCGCAGGGGGGTGCAGGCGTAGTTGAGTTCTGACGCCCCCTGACCCTGAGGGTGGCGCCTGATGCAGGTCGCGGCTCGGTGAGTGGCCCAGGGTGCGCGTCTGAGGCTCTTTATAGATGTGTTTATCGGACACCCGTGGTGGTTCCTGAGTGAGCCGGTGCCAGTGCTGGGGGCGGGGTGGGGGGGCAGTGATGGGAAAATCCCATTCTCGGGCCCTGCCCAGATGAGTCAGGAGCCTCCTCCCCTGCCGGCCCCCCACGAGCCTGGAGAGAGGCCCTGGCAGGTGTCGGGGCCCAGTGGGGAGCCTGAGCATCCGCCTTGGCCTCTCCCTTCCCCAGGATGACCGGAAAGAGGGGATGGCCGCGTTCGTGGAGAAGAGAAAGGCCAACTTCAGAGACCAGTGAGAGCTGCTGCTGTGGCCTCGCACCTCTGCCTGGAGGAGAAGCAGCTGTCGGGTTGGGGAGGAAGTTAATTGTCCTCTCAGGGCAGCGTCAGTTGCCACTTCTCTGCAGCTGCGCGGAGCACGGCCACCCAACCTCACCCGGCCACCGTGAGCGTCCGGTCTGGAGAGCGTCAGCGCTCCGACCAGGGCCTGTTCTTCTAAACGGAAAGCCTTGCGGAGGAGCCTTCAGCCGAGCAGCGAGCTCGCTGTGCCCAGGCGGAGGCGGGGCCTGGCCTGTGCGCAGTGGGACCGTGGCTGCTCGGAGGGAAACACGCCGTCTGCTGGCTCTACACAGATGCTCCGCCGATTAAAGTGCCCGCTTCAGATCACACGGTGCTTTCGGTCGTCTCTAGAGGCTGAATATTCTGTCGCCTTAGTTGTTTCTTAAACCTTGTTTTTTGGATATAAATGGAAACATTCGAACTAAACAGAAGTTTATGCCGTAAGCTGCCCACGCCACACTCCCAGGGAACCCTGTGAACTGCTTTGGGCTAGTGCCTCCTGGAGACTGCCTTGTGCCCAGACACACACATTTCTGCACGTGTATACATATATGTGCACACATGGACACACACTCTTGTGTATGCACACATGCATTCCTGTACTTAGGTACATGCATGCTTATGTGCACTCGTACATGCGTGCTCATGCACACACTTGGACTCATACATACACTCATGTGCACACATACATGCACTTGTGTACACGTGGACACGCCCTCATGTATGCACTCGTGCACATATGCACTTCTGTACATGTGTGTTCATGCACACACTTGCACTCATATATACTCATGCACACATACCATGTACACAATGCATTCATGTATATATGCTTGCATTTAATGCACACATGCACTTGTACACACATGCTCATGTGCACAACACACATGCACATGTGTGCAGGCATGTGGTTCCATTTTCTTTTTATAGAAATGGCATCCCGTGCCCACTTCTGCGGAGTCCTTTGCACACAAGAGCGCGCTGTGATTTCTTGCTCCTGTCACAGGAGTTCCTCACTGCCTGTTTTACCGTTCTCTGTTTGCTGACACACACCCGACATAAACCTCCCGTCTTGACTGTTCTGCGTGCCCAGGTCGCGGCATCAGGCACATTCCTGTGCAGCGGTCTCCACCATCCGCCGAGCTTGTCTGTCTGCCCGGATGGAAGGTCTCCCCGTCCAACGCTGACTCCCCCAGCCCCGGCAACCCCCTTCTACCTTCCGTCTGTGGGTTTGACTATTCCGGGGCCTTACGTGAGTGCTGTCTGTCCTCGTGTGTCAGGCTTGTCACTGAGCACGGTGCCGTGGCCTGAGTGTGTCCCTCCCACCCCACATTCCTGTGCTGACACCCTAACCCTGCCATGGTGTAGGAGGTGGAGCCTTTGGCAGGGCGTTGGGTGCCCTTGTAGAAGGCCCGAGAGCTCCCTCGCCCCTCCCACCACGGGGAACACTGGAGAGGTGCTAAACTGGGGAGTTCTGTGAACCGGCGGTGGGCCCTCACCTGGCACCCACCTGCCAGCCCCAGGACTGTGTGAACCAGGTGTGTGGTGTTCGAAAGCCACAGGGCGCGGTGCTGCGTTACAGCAGCCGGAGCTGAGACAGCATCCTCGAGCTTCCGTCACGTGCGTCACGTCAGCATTTCGTTGCTGAGCGTGTTCCTACCAGCCTGACGTCTCATACCAGGAACATGCCAGAGTTCACTTACTCCCGTGGTGCTGGGCATTTAGATTGCGTCCCGTTTCTCGTCAGAACTGCCGTGGATGGCGCTGCGGTGACCACTGCTGTCACACTCCCAGGAAGCACGCCTGGGCCTCCAGATGGGAGTCGTCAGCAGGAGGGAAGGCGGGGCCTCCTCTCCGGGCCCCTCGGCTCTCCAGATCAGGGTGGGACTGAGGTTGGGGCATTTGCTCAAGACGTGTTCCCAGGGTGGCCAGGCCTGAGGGAGGCCCTGTCGAAGCACAGAGGTGCCAGCGACCGAAGTGCCTGGTGCCGTCGGCCGCAGGAGGTTCGCAGACCTAGAACTCAGAGCCAGCAGGAGACACACCCTGGGAGATGCCACGTTCCCACCAAGGCTCCTCTGGTGGCTTTGGGCTCCAGGAGAGCATTCCCTGTCCCCCGGTCGCTGCACGGTGGCTGGCGCCCAGTGGCCTTGGAGACTGGGTAGCCCCTCCCCATAGCGCACTCTTGTTGCTCATTCTCACCTCGCTGCCCGGCTTGGGACGCTGAACCCGCCGTCTCACACTCAGTTCTACAGCAGGTGTCGGTGGGTGAAGACCCACGTCCCACAGCCTGGGGGGCATGGGTGGAGGGGTCAGTCACTGCCCCTGGTCGGGGCTCCCAAGCCTCAGAGCAGCCTCAGGGTAACAGGGTGGCCAGGATTGCCACCGGCCATCAGCCTCGGGGGCTTGGCTGGTGCCAGCTACACGCCAGGGCAGAGGCTGCCTGAGTGAAGGGGCTGGGGCCTGACAGACCCCACAGTGGGACACGGCACGTCTGGACCGTGTTCAGGAAGCACCACGTGACGCCGATACTCAGCTTTTGGAGCTGAACGTGTTCGTTGTGT